CTGGAGTGCGAGGCTGATAGAGAGAGATAGAGAGAGATGGAGAGGGTAGAGGGAGACAGTGGGCCAGTGCTTTGTACGGACCGCTGTCAGCCCGCGGGGGCCTTATTTCAGAACCGTACCGAATCAGGCACGACAATCGCCCTAATATCCACACGAATGCTGTGGGGGCCCCAGTGCCGCTCAAAAGCCGGGATGAGTTAGAGATCTCTTCATAAATGTAAAATCCCATTCGTCCTTGACAATGTCTTCGGCGGCCACCTCGGGCATTGTGCTTGAGCACCATTAGTCGAAATTTTTACGCTACCATCGGGTCCGGCCGATTTCACCCGGGAAAAAATCGTTTAGGAGAGTAATAGGCTGGCAAGGTTTGGTTTACCGAACGCGCCCGACACAATGCCCACCAAATGACGCGTCATTATGGTGTTTGCGCCGCTATTTAATTGTTTGCCTGGTTTTTTTTTATAATCGCTTCCATCTTACCTCGTATACACCCTTGCATCCCCGTTCATCCCTCACGGGATGAGAAGGACGCTACTTCAAGGTAATAAACAGACTTTACATAGCGGAAGCTCTCTTTTTTTATTGTGACCAAAATCCTCGTGTTATTATTGGGATTTGGTCAAGAGGATTTTGGGAAACACTTAACTTTTTTTTTTCCTTTCAATTTCTTTACCTCATTTTTAGTCTCGCCTTTTGCCAAACCAGAGAGAATGGAAGCTACTACCCCCCGAGAGTGTCTCAATGGTGGTTCATCCCTTGATAAACGGATTAACAAGTAGGAATCTAATTACCTAAGCTTTTCGCTCATAAAACCAATTTCCCCTTTATGACTGAGATTAGGATTCTAGAGAACCTAAATAGGGTCTTGTTCTAGTAAGAATAGAAAATTCCTCTATACAATAGCTGGTACACGTGTCGCATGGAGGACGCGAAAATATGAATCCCAAGCCGTCTTCGTACTGTCTTTCAAAAGGATGAAATATTTTTGCAAATTCAAAAAAAGAATTGCAACGTCCGAATTATGTCCCGAGAATGTCTTTGCACTGTTAGGTGCAAGTCCGAAAGGTGTGGTTCAGAAGCGGTCCAGGAGCGAAGAAAGAACTGAGTGCCGGTGCAGCGGTGCCGCGGTACCAGGCCATAATAACAGAGTCCGTCCGGCCTAGCTGATGACTTCATTGAACTCGGCTCTGGGCCCGAGGCAGGACCTCCCTGAAACCGCCTCAAATTATAACGCCGACGAGACCCGGACGAGGATCGGGACTCTTTGGATGAACCCCGAGAGACGTTTTAAAGTTTTTGAGAATAAGACTCTAGGAGGCCCTATAAGTGCCCTCGTCTTTACCAGTCATTATTTCTCTTGCAATTGCAGACAACTTCAACTGCATCCGACACCTTGTGATCCTTCTGTCACGTTCCATTTGATCGTCTAACCAGCTGCCCACCGGAATACAGGTGTTTTAGGTTTGCGAGAAGAGTTCAACGAGACACTGGGGAAAGGGGGGGCGGCAGGGGGAGGGAGTCTCAAAGAGAGCTGAAACCGTTCCGAGTCGATCTGGTTGCGCCATAAAAATACAGGACATGCACTCTCTGTAATAAAATGCGTCGTTATGCGATCGCAGGACACGTCGGGATACACGGTCGCCTAACCTCCCCAGGTCACGTCGCGGTTCCCTCTGACATCCTCCGTACCCTCCTTGTCCTCCAGCAGCTCCTCTTGAACCTCAGCGCACCTCGGCTCTTTCTCTGCTGGTTCCGCATCTCTTTAGGTACCGATGTCGGAGCCTATGGGAAATAGAAAGTGGCTTCGCCTATCGACTCACCGTACGTTTGCGTATGAAATTTATGAGTGGCTGCTCTCATAATTACCATTGTGGAAAGACGCAGAGTCGTTCGATATGGGATAAGTGCCGTATAATTGCTCTCACGGTATATGCCATTTATTTAGCTAGTTCGATCTGGACCGTGTAAATTCCATTTACGTGATGCTGGAGACTTTCTGAACTTTCCTTCTCTTTTCCTGGACCACTTTAGAAATGCTCTTTGTACGATATGCTGTTATAGGGTGAAACACTTGTGGCTACTATCTTAGCTATATATAGATTTAACTGTACAGCATCCGTTGTGACAGATGGTCCAGTGCATTTTTAAGGACATTTGATTCAACATTGACCCTGGGATAAATTCGCGTCCTCACTGGTGCCGATGGACTAGAAAGGGGGAGGAAGGGGAGGAGAAGTTTTTGTGCTGATCTTGCAAGAGGGACGCATTGCGTCGCATCCCGTTCGGGACGGATGGACCAGAATTGATCCCGGGTGAAAGATCATTTCCATAAGAAGAACCAAAAGGGGGATTTGTTGTTTTCATGGTGACGTTTTATATTTTTGTGTTTGGATGATAGAGATATTTTGGAAAATTAATTGAATACGAAAAATTAAATAATATCTTGATGAACTGTTTCGTGAATTTTTGGAATTCGAAAACTCACAGATTCTTCGGATTTGACGATTCACGATCGCCGCACGAGCAGCTGCCTGAATGAAACATATAATGGCGTTTGGAGGACCGGATTCACCAAATGAGGGCTTGAGCCTAATGTCCAAATGACGGTTGACGATGATGGTGGTATTGTTCTAACACTTGGATGGCTCGTGGGAACACGCCCATGTCTACCGCCTTAAAGTACCTGCTTTCCTTGCGGAGCTTAGGCAGACTCACTTTAGGGACACAGTTCCCACTCTCCCTCCCAGCCATCTCTCTCTCCCTAATTTTTCACTCCTTTACCCCAAGAACAAGCGTCCAGGAAGTTTTGGTGAAAAGTGGCTAAAAACTGTTCACGAAGATCCTATCTGGCTAATGACTCGTGCCCTGGGATCACGCAGAGTACGTATAGTCCCTACGGCTCTCGTGGACATTAGGGTGTGTTTCAATGTGGAAGTCGCAGTTGCGCCCCGTCGCCTGGGTAGAGTTATTAAATTCCAGGGTGGGTGAGCCGTGCGAGACTCTCCGCGCGAACTGCCCACGAACGACGGTACGGGCTCTTAGGACGAAATGGCCGGAGTCGGAGGAGCTGCATTCCCCGGTAATTAGTCTCACCCATAAATTACTGGCCATTCCGCGTCTGTGTTGGTGGGTAACGTCGTCCTGACCTCCCCCCTGGGCCCACCCGACTCTCTGACGGTCCGGCCGTGCTACGGCCCTGCGAGCCATGCTCCCTCCCCTTCGCCGCGTAACCTGGGGCACAACGCGTCCACGTGTGGAACTCCGCTCTCTCTGGTCCAGCAACGCGCGTCCATGTGATTCTGTGACTTTGTTCACGCTTAGGATCACCCTTGAACCTGACGATCCTCCGCCCGCAGCACCTGGTCCATCTCTCGCTTGCGCTCGGATGGACCTACTCTTGACTCCTTCTATTTTTGTCACGCGCATCAAACATACATGTCGGTATTAAGCGCGATTATAGCGTGAGAAGAGGTTACGCCTCTGGAGGTGGTACCTCGGAGGCGAAGAGGCGAAAGAGGAGAGGAAGGAGAAGGATTACGAGGAAGGAATGACGAATTATAAACTATAAATTGGATATTAAAAATGGCGAGGGATTGTACAGCCCTGCTCTTCTGGGCAAGATGATCCTGGGCCCGTGGCTCTTGAGAGCGAAGTCGGGGAGAGTGGCACGTGAGAAGCGGGAGCAGCGTGTTCGAATAGAGGCCGAAGTCCCGCGGAGTTGGAGCTATGGGAACGGGCCCCGGGAAAGGTCCTGGAGAGGTCCGGGAGAGGCCCCCGCTCATCGGTGCTGTAGGTCCCGCGGACCTGTTCTGCCCGACTAGTCTCGGAGAGCGCCGAAGAAAGGGGCATAGGACCCCGCTGCTAAATGAGCTGTAATACGGACCCCCGCTGGTCCCCGTTCTCCCGCCTCACGGCCATGATACGGGCATTCAAAATCTCACTCACTAGGCCCTCTACTGGGCCCACCGACCGGCCTGCACATTAGGCCTATACCTCGCTACGTATCCAGGAATCGTCTTGTACCTTACGATCCTCTTAATCGGGATAACAAAGTTCTTCCGTCGCAGAACGGCTGCCTCTACGATCGGTCAACGTTTCGTTACCAGGGAAATCCTCGAGGTCGTCTTAAAAGATATTCACAAGTTCGTTGCGGCGGTAGAGATGAAAGGCCCAACGGAGCCACACGCCGAGTGGGCCCAGCTCCTCTCAATAGGCTGGCTTGGTAGGCGCGCGCCTGCGTGCATAAGTATGAGTGGCCGTGCGTGTTCGCGTGTATGTGGAAGAGAGAGCCACTCGCTACGAATACTCTCTGGGCTCTACTAATTCTCGCAATGGGACTTACGACCCGTTATTAGCGATTGCTGGACCAATTCGGTTCTTCGCTTCTTCACAATTTAAGGCCCCGAGCCTTTGGACCGACTACAAAGGGACTCACGAAGGAAACGATGCAGAAAGGTAGAAGCGTCATCGATAGCCTTTCAAAATTCTCACACAGCATCCCGTTCGCTCGACTGGAAGTTCACTCAACGCGAGATCAGAGTCTTTTAGTTCCTGTCAGAAGGGACGAGTCGTATGGACCTAGTGACGGACACGTCACGCGTAACTTCCTAGCACCGGCATACCGAGCCCTCTATCAGAGGGATAAGATGGGCCTGGTATGGCCGTTTAGATTGTCTGCCATAGGTCAACCTTTCTTCCTTTCCCTTCCTCCGCTCATCTCGTCCTTCACCTTTCTCCTCTCCCGTAACTGATACTTGTCTCGCGTAAACGGTCAAACCGTGGAAGCTTCTATATTTAGAGATCGCGAAGGGTGGAGATGATAGGAAACGGTACGTCGCTTTCCATCTCATTTTATCAGGCAGCATCTCTCAGCATCGCGCCAGCCAAAGTATCCAGAGATGCGGCGAGTGACTCTCGGCTGCGGAGTAAAAGAGGAAAAGAGGGGCCTGGTGCGTTGGTTTGCCGCCGAGCGGCGCTCACCTGCCTCGTGAACACAGTCGTACTCCTCGCTCAGGCTCGCTCGGCAATCGGAGACCGATCGTCTCCCCTTTGCTTCTGCCCCATTTCGCCATTTGGTCATTCAGCCATTTTTCATCGTTGTGACTTCCGGTTTCCTCCCTTCGCGCCTACGATTCATTTACCACGTGCGACCCGGTCAAGATACGCTTTTGAGTTTCCAGTGCGTCCCTCTGCCATCGGAAACGACGGAAGGCAGCAGCTACACGCCGTAGAAGTGCACAGGGGTTCGGGGGGTGACTTCCTATCGAAGATTCACATACATCTCTCTCTCTCTCTCTCTCACTCGTTCAGCCGCCATGTCTCATTCTCCTTGTGAAAGTAGCGCCGGTAAGCGAGATCGGTAAAAGGCGAATAGAAGGAAGAAGGAAATCGAATGGTGCCGATGCCGGTATTCTGGTGCTCGTCTGGTGCTCTGGTGCTCTTGGTGGTGGGGACACTCGAGGAGTTCAGTAGTGGGGGTAGAGTAACACTCAAAGATCCAAGTGACGTACTTCTGGCAGCAACGTGCGCCGCGTTTTTGCCCCTTCCGACCAAGAGGCTCCGAGATTCGTTTGCCGAGAGAGATCCTGTCACCGACTTCCTATCAGGATCCTCTGACTTCCTGTGACCCACCGTGACCTGTGACCAATCGTAAGGTCGTCGTCAACCTCAGTGATCGAAGCTTCGCAGGAAGTACCCCAGTACCGGTTAGTCTTCGACAGTTCTCCTCCTCCTCTGCTTCTATCCCTATGCTTATTCCACTGGATCTCTTAACTCTCCTCAATCTCCACTTCCGGTCCTCTTCCCGAACCGTCCTTCCCTCCTCGTATCGACGCGTCTCCTGCCGCGTCCACACTGGACTTTCGGTACTCTCGTGAATAGGAGCCATGACGTTTCGCCCTGGAGCGACGTCGCGCTCACTAGTGCTCGTCGTCCGCGGAGAGGAAGAAGCGTCGCCAGGGACTGGCACGCTGGTTCTCTAGTTGGTGTCGATCCGTCCGAGTAAACGGAAGACGGCGAGTGCGTCGAGAGTCGTGCTCCTTGGAAGATCAAGGGGATCGGATCAGCTGGTGAGAAGAGAAGCAAGAAGCAAGGAGAGTCCGGAGTAGCAGCAGGCAAGGGGAGGTGGAGGAGGAGGAGGAGGAGAAGAAGGAGGTGGAGGAGAAGAATCAATCGAATTGGGCAGCCCTGCTCAATCGAGGGCATAATCGAGACACTTGGCTCCGCGAGAGGGAGGGCCGGGAGGGGATGGAGATGCGCCCCGTTCTCGTTGCGATCTGCCTTCTCCTCGTCACCCCCATCACCGGCTCTTTCTGGTGAGTCTCACTGTATTTCTATCTTCGTCTCTCTCCCACTAATTCTATCGCGCAATCCGTACCTAGACTACCCGCTACTTTTGTCCTTTACTCGTCTCTCGTCGATGGTCCAGTGACTTGATCACTCAACCATTTCACATAGGTGGATGCTGAGGTGGAAGCGGAATGAAAAAAAAGAGCCGTGTAGGCCGCGTGGCGGTGGGCCTGAACACGGTAACAACGTAACACATGATAGCCATAAAGCGAGCCTTTAAACAAACAGAAGTCATCTGCAATGCATAGCCTCCGTTAGCGCGTACTTACCTAGTATAGGGGGGAGAGAGAGAGAGAGAGAGAGAGAGAGAGAGAGAGAGAGAGAGAGAGAGAGAGAGCGTGTGAGAGTATGGGCGAGCGAGTGAGTGGCCAAGGGCCCAAGGAGTAAACAGGCCCTGCCGTTGGGAGATCGGTGCCCACGCTATTTCACTTGTACACGTAATTGTAGGATTGATATATCAATACATATCAAGTTAGTGATGCTCGGCACTAGGGGAGATGAAATTATTTTTTTGTGGGATTTGACAAAAAATTTTGAAAAATCTTAAATTTACCAAATCGAGTAGAAAATGATTTTGCAAAAGTCGAGATATTATTAAGGAGACTCGTTTTCGTTGACGCCTCTTGAGTAACGTAGAGCTACGCCGAGTATCTCGTTAATCGTAAATTACTCGCATCTTGCGAGTCCTCTCGTTAAGTATGTCAATGTTTACGTTACGATAGTCTTATCTAGCAAGGTACGTCACGTCAGCAGCATCCGGACGGAACATCTCCCGGTTAGGATTTATGAAAGTGGGAAATCGAAGTTTACGAAAATTAGGCTAGAGCAGGGTGAGGGTGTAAGGGCGATGGGACCTATTTGAGATTTTGCTTAGAAGGGCCCCGCCGGGAAAGGGCCTCGTTTGTAAAATGCACTGGCGAAAGGGGAGTTAAGCAGGCAAATATTTATTTACGATTTAAAAGGATTCCCGTGTTTCTCTGACGTTTTCGTTGCACCTCGTTCTACCTGTCCGCCTCTCGAGCAGGACACTCGACTGTTTGATAAATATATTAGAAGGGCCCGGTTTGTTTTGATAACAGGTATTTAAGGGGTCTTGGGAATTTTCTCGGCGACAACAAGGAGAGGAGAGGGGCGGGCACCCCCAGTTAAGTATTTAATCTCGGCCTAGATATTCTAATTAAATTTTTTTTATCTACTTGACATTCGGCTGAAACAATCCTCCGATCGATCTCTCGATTATCGTCGATGGTATCGATTCGAGGTACGGTCGATAATTATTTTAATGAAGAATCCGAAAGACCAACCGACCATGGTCGGATCGCTCCAAGTACGAATCCAGAACAGTTTGTCATCGAATACCTTGATTCATCCTGTTGGGCGAATCTTGAGGCGACGCTCAGAGCAGAGCGGACGATTACCGCTCTGGACCGACCGGATTCTGTTCGCCGGCCGACATTCTCTGGTTTTTTCGCGAGAATCCAGCAGGACCCGTCCGCCCTTCAGTTTCCCCCGAGTATCTCTCTCTCTCTCCTTCCTGCGCTCCTCCTATCTCTGTCCATCCCGATGCTTCCTACGGTGGGAGCCTTCCTCCTGCCAGTGGCATCGGACGCAAGTAAAGAAGTAAAGAAGTAAAGAAGTGAAGAGGCAGAGAGAGCAGCCGAGTAAAGAAGTAAGCGAGGACGGACAATGGTCTCGCTGCCGCGTCACCGTAAATCTCGAGGAGCGCATATAATTTGTAAGTCGACAGGGAGCGTCGGTGCCTTCGGCTACTCTCGGATACCCTCGGATGCACTTCGGTGCCTGGAAGACTCAAAAGAACCAGGAGGCGGCGAGTCGCGCTCCTTGGAATTCGCCTCGACGCTCATTTCTGCGTGAAGGAGATACACCTAGACGTCGCGACGCCCCAGCGGCTGGATCTCGGCCCAATTCGAAAATTTTCATATCCACCGGAAGACGCAAGTAAATTTGGAAATTTGGAAAGCCCAAACGGCAAATAATTAAATTGGCCTTGAAGTGAGTCGCGAATCAGGAACGACGTGGATCGATCTATTGGCTATCGATTTCAATCGATACGGATCCTCTTCCAGCAACAACAACGTCATACCTGTACGGGATCCATGAAGTTGGCCAATGAGCCGCGGTGGGCAGTCCGCGACCACCTTCACTCTGGTTGGACCACTGGATGCTCCCACCTCTCACCTGCTTTCTTTCTCCCTCTTCTACTCCCTCTCCTTTGTCTCTTTCTTACCTGTACGCATAATCATAATCATAAGAGGGCACGTAACTATTTACACGCTACGTTACGTTAAACGCACTTCGCAAACTTGCTACAGAGTCCAGAGGAAGAGTCGCTTTGGCTCCTTTTGGGACTTCGTGTCTTCCATTCGGATTCCTCGGTGGAACCGGGCAAGATTAAACGGAGAGGGGACTAGTCCGCGTAAAAGAAAAAGAGAAGGAACGAACGAGAGAACTCTCTCGGTGCCCCGAAGGAATATCAGGCTGGCCAACGTAAACACGCATAACTCTTGCGTTTCTCTCAGTTTGCGCGTTCGTCTGCGTCTTTGCCATTCTCACTCACTTTCTCCTCTCGTTTGGCCTCGGGAACTTCTTCACGGTGCATTAAATATAGTGCAACCGTCTCTCACTTGGGATCCACTCGATCACGGAGTCTACTTCGGTACGACGAATATAGCTGTCTGCTGCCATTGCTGCTATTGCCGTTGCTGGTGTTGCTACTCTTGTCATACTAGTCCACGTGTTTTTTTCTTAGAGCCTAACCTCGTTTTTATTTCATTTTATAAGGCCCCGTACACAGACTAGTCGTGGTCACTTTTAATCCAGTTATAATCTCTCCAATTTTGTATGCTTGATTCACAGATTTTTTTTCTAATAATTATTTACTTTTTTCTATTTAGTATTTCGTTACTTATGTTTCGTCCACGTGTTACTTTTAGCCTTACCCTTTGCTGTTCTACTACGCTTGGCGGCGGCACTCCGGAGTTCAGTGTTTGTAATACAATGAGAGAGCGCCTTGAAATTCCCTACGGTCGGTTCACACTGGTTCACACGCGGTGACCCTTGCCACCAATTTGTTCGCGGCATTCCGGCTTATGTCATTGGGTTTTCTCTCTCTGTAGGAACCCACTGCCATTCCTGTACTTATTATTAGTATATTAGTATATATTCCTATATCTTCCTAGGAGTATCAGATGTTCGGTAGCTCCTAGTCGCAGTGCCTAGAGTGGAGTTTTGTGATATTTTTACGTGTCTCTTGTGCCGCTTCGCACGAGAGCCAAATCCGAAAGAGACCCTAGTCCAGGAGACGAGAGACTTTAGGGTACTGGATGCTGGAGATCAAGTGGTACTTGGACCTGGAGCAAGAAGACACGATGATTTAGATTTAACGCGGGTATTTAGCGCTCTGAGATGTTGTGACGTGTCACTTCCGTTCGCGACTCTTTCAACAAGACTCTCGTTTCCCCTTTGCTTCTCTTTTTCCTTTTCCTTTCCTCCGACTCCGCGACGTCCCAGCATCCCCGGCAGATCCGTGTACCGATTATACTCTAGACCCTGTCGCCTGGTCCCTCTGGGAATTTACTTGGATATCCAAAGAATTCGCTGGGACTTCTGGTCCAAGGTCTTCCTTTCCAAGTATCTTGCCCTCTCGGATTCGCGACGTCTTTTGGTCGACGTCGTGGACGTCTGGACGCGCGTCTCTCTACCGGAGCCTGCAAACCGGCCCAGTGCGCTCGTCACTGTCGATCCGAGCAGACAGCGTGGAGCTGCCTTCGAGCAAAGTGAGTGCGTCTAATGAGGCAATAAATAAGTCGACCGCCCTAACCGGCCTCTCGACGCTTTTCGTTCGCGACCTCCGATCCTTTTCAGCTTTTTTCTTTTAATCCCTTTTTTCAGCATCCTCCCCTCTCGTCACCACCCTTCCGCTACCATAACGATTCTCGCGGCTATCATTGCCAGACCCAGCGACTGGGCTGATGAACTAGGACAACGGTAGGAAGCAGACGTACATATTAATTCCATCTATTTTCTTCTTCTCTTTCTTTCGTTCCATCCTTCATTCGTTCCCACTCTTTCCTACGGTCTCACTCCTTTACGGCTGTCGGCCCATCTACGTCAGTCCGACTCTCGGTCTTTTTGGTCCTGGTACCAATGGAGGGGTGGATGCCGTCCCGTTGACGTCGTCGATCTCACTCGATATATTTAGGCCGAAGCTATCGATCGCAGGAAATTCTCGACACTTGGACCTCAAGATCAAACAAATCAGAGCTGATGAAAGGATTTCTCAGTATATTCCATTTCCGCTTATAGATGATCGATACCGAATCTGCCTTACCGACTGACCATCCCTTTCGTCACCTACGCACAGAATATCCAAATCTATTCCGAGAAGGCTGCGAATCGTCGTGCGACCTCAAGGTCGACACGATTTCCTCAAGGTTAGCTACTTGCCACCGGAAGCTGCTTCTTATACCTAAGGTCTTACCCGATTCCCTCGGCTCTCTCCCAAAGAGAACGCACGCCCTTTCACGCGGCTCCGCCAGCGAGACGAGGACGACGTCGGCATCTCTTCCGAGAAGCAGGTGAACGATCTCGCACTCGAGAACTAGGGAACTCGTGAACTCGAGTGGACGCGAGCAGCTACTAAGTGGTCCAGCTGTCGCTCTCACCGTTCATCCATCCATCCATCCATCTGTCTGGATGGACGCTAGAGGATCTGCCAAGATGGCCAAGACCCGTCGCCCCCGTTTCTCTACGTCTGCGAGACATTAGTCAGACCTAAGTGTCGTCTGAAACATCTTCCAGCGTTAATACCGGGTGTCCTCTCGTGAATTCCATCCGGTAGATGTTTCGGGAAGGAGGATGAAAATTCATCCTACAAACTTGGACTCTGTACTTCGCTCGTGCAGTCATCCTCTTCGTCCTAGTGGCCTCGTGGTGGTTGAGTGGATGATCGAGATGGAGGGGTCAGGGGCAGAAGGGGCACGCAAGTGGCCTCAGTGAGAGACATTTTGTTTGTAATAATGTCGTAATTTTATTATCTGGCTCATTGTATCGGGTGCGGGCTCAGTTTATTTGGTCTTCGGGGTGAGATGCATGCTACGGGCAAACAGCCATGAAATACGCAGGAACCACCCCATCGTCTAACTATACGGCTAACGATAATATACAGTGGGTGTCGTAACTCGTCCGCAAACGTGACTGTTATGTCAGTCGTTACGCGTTCTTGGAAAGTCTGACTGGAGCTGACGTGGATTCTTGACTACGTAACATGCTGCTGGCTGAAGTCATCATTCTCGCAGTCATTATTCGCCCGGCCACCCTTTCCCCTCGCGGAAGTGACACTCGGCTGATATTAATATTATAAACAGACGTCAGGAAATGTTCGTCGATTCGCATATACGATTTGGTCATTCGAAATACTCTGAGCGTTTCGATATACCAGGAAGTCGATGCGACGTCTATTTCCGGATCTAATGGAACTACTGGAGCCTCTTTACCCCCGTTGACTCGGAGATCGATATAGATAAATAAATATTGAATTTTTTTCGAATACATTTTTCCATTCACTCAAGATTCTTCGACGTCGATTTTTTTTCACTCGTCGGCTAATATTTTTTTTTCAAATTTCTATCGTATACAGATATCTCATGAGAGGTGATTTTAATGACTATATGTCGAATTTTGGTTATTTTTTTTTTTATATTTATACGTGCTGGCGTGATGGGATAAAATTAACCGGAAGAGGGTATCGGATAGGAGAATCGGGAGAAATGAAGTACTAGCTGAGGTTAACGCTGGGTGAGGCGAATTGAGAGGAGCGGTGAGAGGGAGAGAGAGGGTTGAAGATTTACCCTGTTTCTCTTATTTTTGAGTAATTTATGAGGTCTCGAGAGTGCGAATAAATTCGGGATCAAGATGCTAACGATAAATCCTCCGTCTGGATCAAATTCTTAGGAGACTTTCTGAGACACAACATTGGCTGCTCCTCCGATGTCGCTTAATCTCTATTTTTCCATCTCTCTTCCAGTCCTCCCAACTTCCCAGCATCCCTGCTCTGGTCCTTGTCCTTCTTTTCATTTCGCTGAGATATCGCTCGACTAAATACCCAGCAACTTAGTGAACGTCACACCCAGCGATTTGTAGCTCCTGCAAATTATACCGGAACACGGTATAGCAGCCAGCTTGGAACAAGATCATGAGAGATCAAGAGACATGATTAAAGACTTGATAAAGAGAGCAATCCTGATGCTCCGGATTCACTTGATGTAATTATCGACTCTGTGATTACAGGACCGTTGGCAGCCAGGTGGTGATGGATCCGATGCTCATATGCAAAAAGACGAGAAGACTCAAAGGTAAATTGGCAGACATTTGCCGGAAGGAGCCAGCGCTCCTGAAGGAGATCGCCAAGGGTGTCCAGGTGGGCACGAGGGAGTGTCAGTACCAGTTCAGGAACCGCAGGTGGAATTGTACGACGGTACGAAGATCCCTAAGGAAGATTTTACTACGTGGTGAGTGTTAGGGTTATCTTTATTTTCTTTATCTTTATTTTATTCTTCGAATCCTGCTGGTTGATCTTGCTTCGATTCCTCCTCCTCTTCGAAAGAAGAGAACCGAGTCGACCCAGATGTACACGTAGGAACGGTCTTGGCACTGGTACCAGCAGTATCGGCAGCAGCAGCAGCAGCAGCAGCAAGAGTGGTAGAGTAGGGCCCAGAATTGAGGTCGGTATTCGTGGGCCTTTTCACGGAATGAAAAGAGGAGAGGACAAAGCACACATTGGCGGCAGATTACAGGGCGCTTCTGCTCGACATTAGGCGGACCGGATGTCGATTACACACCGGTCTCAGGGAGCAGCGGGGACCCGTGGCCGATTCGTTACGATTAAACGGCTGGGCCCCTTGGTTGGCACTTGGGCCTTAGGGCGCAGAGGGACGCCCTCTCTCCCCCCTGTGACTTGGAAATCGAAAGGAACTCGTGTTCAAAGCCTTTTCTCCATACGTGATTTCAAGTGAAACCTTGACCTCTTCACTATTCTTCCTTATATACCGATACGTCGCGGCGCTCCGGCTGGGTTTCAGACATCCTAGGAATTTAAGGGCGTCCCCTTGGGACACCGTATAATTTTCAAAGTAACTTCCTACTGCGGTATACGGTATCCTAACGAGCCCAATTTTCAGTCTGTGGCAACATATTGAATAATGCCCTGTGCTAAGGATCCTTGACGCGATCCTCTATTAGTCCTTATCTTGAGATTAAAAGGCAAAAAGGAATAAATTTTAATTTAAACCCTAAATTCCAACTAATTCCTTAGACAGCATGGTCTTCGACTTCTTTCTCTTACAGACCCCTCTTGATCACCAGAGCCAAATCTCAAATCCTAAATTCGAAATCCTAAACCTCCTGGTTCATTCCGGCTGATCGAACGCGACATCTAAATCGTAGACAGCGTGTCCAATAGGCCGTGCTATGCCTGCTATCCAAGATCAGCCCGTTTGGTAGCCTGACAGATTGACACTGTCCGACGGATATTAGTGGCAATATGTTCCTCTAATTAAATCCCTCGAGATGGCGCGTGGAGATGAGAACGAAAAACGCATATAACGGTTTTACCGAGTCACTTTGAATTCTTTGTTTATTTCACGCGGTACATTAAACTCTTGAGATTTTAATTAAAATTCACAATGTTAAAAAAAATGGTTATATCCAAATTCCTCAGAGGCTGCTTGCAATTAGGAAAATGATTTTTGCTCTTTATCAGTCTGTCATATTGTGTCCAAGCATCTGTGGATGCTTGTGAAACCCGAAGGCAGCAGAACCCAGAAGCGAAATGCCGACTGGGCCGCATAAAAGAATCGATGACGAGGGTAGAACGTTAACTGCTCGTTCCAGTGACATTTTCATCGGTTATTCGGTGTCCGTGTTGAGGACGGAGTGCGAGGACAGGTCGCCGTGGGAAGCCAACCAGGAAATATATGACCCTGGGGCCACCCGGTGCTACGAAAATCAAGAGACCGTCTTTTGGAGCCAAGGCTACCGAATCCTTGCAAATTATCAAGATTATGTTTAAAAAATTTATTTCATATCCGAGCACTTTTTTTTTCTTATTTTTATTAAAATAATATGGATCCAGATACGCAGATACTTAATTCACTAGGAGACAAGGGAACGGATGCTGGAGAGTGCTTGGCTACGGTCTCTGTCTCTTTCACTTTCAGGGTCGATTCGACCGAGTAGGAAAGCACTGAAATCCTACGGAGACAACTATATATTAGTCGTTATCTTGAAAGTTGGAAAAATTCCGGGGCCTTACCGAGCCAAAGGGGCCCCGCTTGCCGCTACCGGTGACGCCTATCTTAATTCTCGATTGACGTTTATTTATCTGGCGGCGTTTAATTTTTATGGGCGCGATCCGCCGATAGGTTCAGGTAGTTCCTGCTGTGTGGTCCTTGGAAAGGGAATTGCGTCTTCGATGAGAGTTCCTCCCCCGACGTTAAAGGGGACTCGAGGGACTAACGGACTAAGAGACTCGTTCGCCTTCTTCCATCTACCTACCACCTAACTCATCCGGCTCACTCTCTCTCGCAGCATCCCTTAATTGAGGGGGCGCGTGTCACGATAACCCGAACACGGGCGTCAAGCTCTTACCGGGCTACCAGGATGCCAGGACACCAGATTAACCAGAACTGGCTCCTCTACTTTGAGAACGACCCCAACCGATTTTACGGGATTGATGACCATCGGTCCAAAATTACAGCCAAAGACCAATATTTCAAAATTTCGCAAATGATACAGAGGCTGCACACAAAGATCTCCCGGTATCCAACCCTATTCGTCATCCGGATGATCTCGATGATAACCCTAATAAAATATGCCACGCGTCTCTGGTATTCCACAAAAACAAAAGACTCGCCACGACTGTACACTAACTTACGGCTACGGTAACTCAAGTAGCCGTGGCTGCAGCCGAATTGGCAAATCAGTCGTTTTAGCATTTCTCTCATAGTGGCGCTGTCGTCTCTCGGTACCAGTCCAAATAAAGCAGATATTTTACGCTTAATAAACAGGACGCACCAAGGCGAAACGCTGCTGGTCCCCATGACTCCCTCTCTCTCTCTCTCTCTCTCTCTCGCGTCCAGTTACCTTCGATAAGAGACTCGCTCCTCTTCCCCAAGGACTAAATAAAATCAGCACTAAATCCGGGGCTAATTATTTGGCAGTAAACGGGCGGCATAAGGCAGCTCGTAAACGCGTCAGCCGGAATATCTCACTCAGATAGGATCTACGCCAATCTTCCATAAACTCCATAACCTACTACCGAACTGACTCTTTAATATATTATTATTATTCTTTTATTTTTAAGATAAACCCAACAGTAATACCTTGGTCTGTGGGTCTTATGGCCTATTAAACTTTCCCTGCTCCCTTCCCATCTCTCACGCACACTCCACCAATCTCCTAACAGCATCTTCATCTGCATTCGAGATTGACGTCTCGTTTCTCCAATACTCCTCTACGGCAGCCAACCTCCGGAGCAATGGGTCCTCTGTGGATGCTGCGGAGAACTTCTGTTTGCCACTGAGTACGCAGGTGACGGACGATGGTCCATGGGCAATGTGCAATGGGCGATGGGCGATAATGAGAAGGCCCCGAACCCCGTTAGCGGACATGTGCTAAGTGTTTGCTCTCGCGCAGTGCTAACTAATACGCGCGTATTCGCCTTTTACCGACGTCCCTGTTTGCCGTATTGTGACACACGTTCAAAGATCGTCGCTAAGGACCCCAGGAGCACCCTGGCTGATGACTCCGGCGACTCTTACCGATCGTTGGCCAAGTAGTAGGATTCAGTAATTGGAGATAATATGTTAAGAGTCGATGATAACAGCCACCCGGAACCCCGGTCGCGCCTCCCGATGTCATCGACCACCCTTTTTCTGCTGGTGCAATATTTCCAAGGGTTTACGTAAAACATTATTGTCTACCTCGCAGTGGTAGGTCATTGTGGTCCCAACGCGGCAGAGGCATACCTGGAGAATTTGCATGATTTATTTATGGCACCACTGGTAGGCCCCCGACAATGTCGGACCATGAACGCCGATTATGGTACGTCGTTCCAGATGAAGGCTGTTGGTACCGATTTTCTACGCTTCTGCATCTTACGCGAACTTGGTCGATTTTTGTATAAAAATTGTTTGTCCTTTTTTTTCGGTTTCTTCACTTCCGGTATTACTTTTGGGGATTTTCGTAAAATCGATCGATCGGTATGTCATTTCGACAGTGGCCACTCGTGTCAAAGAGTTGACGGAGAGGATAGTTTCGGCGGGGACTGTACCTGGGGGACCGGTAGCCGATGTCCTGTTCGCTCGATGCATCGCCGGTACTCCACAAAGGATTGACAATAGCAAACAGTTTAGTGTCCCGTACGTTTATTGTATCGGACTACCGTACTTTAACGTCCTTCGAGCGGAGGACAGAGGACAGAGGACAGATCTGTTACTCTGTTAGACTTCGCTCGGCTACCATTGACATTTGAATGCTTCCCTGGGTGAGCAAAGGAGTGAGAGAGAGAGAGATCCGCAACGGGCAAGAGAGAGGAGGAGAGGATCCTATCTCAGGTTCCATTGCGTTTCTTCTGTTGGTGTATCCCATAACGATTATAACGATGACGATGCCCATGATTGTTCTGGGGTGTCAGTTTTATTTATTTTTTTCTTATTTACCTTACCGACTAGAATTCTTGGTCGTCCGGCGTTAACGTTTACTCACAATCATACGTGTGAATAAATAGTGTCGTCAGGTCGGGTTGGTTTGGGTGTGTCTCCCCGTGAGTTTCGCGTCGTCAAAGAAAAGCAAGGCGGGTTCTTACGTATCTGCGTACGTGTCTATATACGCGCAAGGTAACGAGATTGTCTTACGCGTCGCGGTGTCTTTCTCTAGGTGCAGTAATTACCGTGGCATTTGGCTGCAGGGGCGGCGCGGAGGGGAAGTCGCAGGAGCGGGATATACCCGGATGATAAATTCCAGGATTGGCGATGCGCGATCCGCGAATGAATCCGCGGTGGAAAAGATGTTGGGGAATTTGTAAAAAAGCGCGAGGCCTTGCCGCAATTGGTCATTGCGCGGATTTTTCCAGGCCGATCCGGCATTCATGCGTCCGCTCGCAGTATTTATTGGAAACGGCAAGGGAGTCGGAGAAGGAGAGAAAGAAAGGAGGAATGAGCCGGAGAAGCCTCTTAAAGCCAAAGAAGCCAGAGAGACCAGAGAAACCGGTGAAGGTTCAGGGCTGAGGAGAGGAAGGGATCGGGAATATTCTCTTGCTGAATATTCCAATCGGTTCGCATTGAATATCCTTAAGTTATTTGCAGGCCGAACGAAGCTTCTGCTCCGCTCGAGACTTTCGACTCGCGGGATTCGCGGCTTTCGGCGGGTTTCGCTCGATCCGATTCTCCCCTTAGGCTGCGTCCACAAAGCGATCGCCGGAGCGATTTCCAAACGGCTGGCAGGGTCGGTCGCGAATGCACGCGTCGTCTTCGGGGATCATTGGGAAATGAGGAGACGGGAGGACGTGAAGATTTATACCTCCTCTCGATATTTATATGCCTAAACGATGGCTGAATAGATCGATCCGCGAATAGCCGGGATCTATTACGCATGAATTGCGGATCCGCCGTGATAAATTCTACGTCTCCAAACAAATCACTGGCTGCCCGATCGATACCATCTACGTCCACTGGGACTAACGTACGACATAACCTACAATGGCTGATACATGGGCGCAATTATACGCTTACATAATCCGCGATCGATTAATCACCTCGAGATTTACGAGGATTTGTTAATCCCGCGGAGTCCGGGCACCGCGACGCGACGCGACGCGACGCCAGGGCAATTCCATAAATCAGTCGCCAGATCGGCCGAGTTGGAATGCGCCAAGGATCATTGCGACACGGCCGAGATTCCTCCTCCTTCGGTTCCTCCTCCAATTCCTACAACTGGATCCTTCCTTTCTACTTGAGCTTCTTCCTTCCTTTCGTCTCATTCTTATACCGCCTTCCCCGTCTTTCAGGATCATTTTGCTCATCTTCCTACTGTCTAGTCGCCTTCGGGATTGCAAACGATGAAATTCCAGGCGCTCTTCGGTCGACAGGCAAATTTCTTCGAAATGCCAGATAAACGCACTTGATCCCAGTGTGGGAGGCTCCTCACCTTCTCCCATCGGATCTCCTCTAGGAAAGGTCAGGCGAATTCTCCAGGCTGATACAAGACTCGATGCGATTGTAAGGATCGAAAGGATCGAAAGGATCGAGAGGATTCGAAGGATCGGAAGGATCGGAAGGATAATGCTCGGGAATGTTGATAATTGGCCACTGGATCGTAGAGAAGAGAAGAAGCGCGCACCTGGCAGCCCGCCGAGATCATCGGCTCGCGATCCCTCGTGTCTAATTGATCCCAAGTGATTTATGCCTCCAGAGATACGGTGGACTACGCCCGGAGCATTCCCCAGCTCGTGGCACGCTCTGAACTCGCGATGCTCACCAGCCCTGTCGCGAGAGTCTTGCGAATTCCCAAGAAATACCTAGAATCGAAGTAGCCTCCGATTCCCTTCGAACGATCCTCCGGTGATGCTGCTGTGACGAAAGAGACGCTTGCGAAAGGTTAGATGGCCAAGGCAGAAGAGAGGGGGAAGACCAGAGAATAAAGAGTGAAGTTTCGTAAATGAACCGAAGAAGATGAGTGGCGTGCAAGGTACCGAGACTTCCGTCATGTTAAAGGGCCGGATTGCCGAAGAGCCGCAGAGAGGCACAGAGAGCATTCGAACCGAGAGTGAGAGAGAGAGCAGTCGAACCGAGTGTGTGTGTGAGAGAGAGAGAGAGAGAGAGAGATGCCTTTCGCTCTCGAACTCGATATCAGATCGCTCGTATAAAACTATCGTATCGTTTAAATACGCACTGAAAGGTGAGGCGATGCATCAGGAGATACGCGCCCGGTGGCAGCCTCGCTTCGTCCGTCCGTCCGTCGATCCGCGCTGAAGATACCCGCCTGGAATCCATGGGAACCACCGAGAACCAGCCTTAACGCGTAACCCCTGCTTTCCTCGCTCCTTCCCTTCATCTTTTTCACCTTCTTCTACTTCTTCTACTTATTCTGCTTTTTGAATCCATCTGGACCTCCTGCTTGGATCTAATATCCTTGAAGATCTTTCAAAAATTCATGTACTCGGATTTGCTACTCTATCTTTGTCTCTCTATCTCTCTCTCTCTTGACTACCTCATAAGATTTCGTCCAAGATCACGGCCAAGAGAGATCCCGAGCACTCTGATCCTCGTTCGCTGGTACCTCTAACGAGAGCGAGCAGTTAACATAATTGCGCCGGAATTGGCATAAGACTCGCGGAACCACGTAGCGATCCTTGACTCGTATCGCCAGTCCTCTTGCAGTCGCCGCCGCCGTCCCTGTGATCCGATCAGCAATACACACGGCCTGACGGATCTCTCTTGGCTGGAGAACCAAGATTCCTCGAGGAGAACCGCTACGCTTTCCGTAATTGGGCAGGCATTCCACGTTATGAGTTAATTCCGTCGATCGCGACGCGATATCACTTCGCCACTCGAGTTGCCGCCCGGTTTTACCTTTTATCGATTTATCTATCCCTTTTTTATTCATGCCTCAACCCTTTTTTCCCCCTTATCTCTCAGCGGTGTCCTCCCTTGTCTCGCTGCTGCTGCTGCCATACTGCCGTTTCTTCTTCTCGTTCTTCCTCCATCCGCAACCTCAGCCGTGCTTATTTGGTCCCTGTCCAAGTTTCGCGCAACATCGCTGACGTCATAAGGCGCAGATGCACTCCTGCAGCGTCGCTCAAGCTGCAAAGTACTTTTCGCAAAAGCGTCGACGTCGCGTCAATAAACCAATTCGAAAGTACGTCCTTTGGCAGCCGCGCGAGCGCATTTGTTTTCTTCGCTGGGGGCCTGAGCTCTCAAAGAGTTAATTATTTTCTTAGCACCGAGTATACTAGCCAAAATCATAACACGGCAGCGAAGTTACCTAGAAGCTGTTAAAATCTTTAAAGTGATCTAACGACTCGTTATCTCTTCGCAGAATCTTCATAATTTCCTCTTCCGTTAGATTTTCGCTCCTCCAAAGGATCCGCCGACTGATTGGTCCCATGGCTCGTCTCTGGTATCACTCTTCTCTTAACCGTTCTCGACGGCTCGCCAGAGAGAGAAAGAGGCGAGAGACGCATTTGCAAAGCCCGGATGCTGCGAGAATGAAGCAGAGCGAGAGCCCAGTATGATCTTTTGCTTTCAAAGGGTTTCCACTTGACGCATTGTTCTCTAATGATGGAGTGGAATCATGACAGGTGAAACCCAATACATGACACACTGCACCCACCGGAATTGGACAGTGTGGGAGCCAATGGGATGAGAGTGCTCCCAAGATCGTCCCATCCTCCCGTATTAGTTTTCAAACAGTCTCCAGCATCCAGGTCCAGGACGTTGAATCATTCGTAGAAGCTATCGGAGGACCCGGGTACTCTCGTGCTTGAGAGTGTCAAAGTCTCAACTCGAGGTCGACCGGTCTCGAAAAACTTGCAAAAAAGAGTAGCCGTCCTCCTGGACCATTCCCTATCATCTCCATCAGTCACTTGGACTGCTCTTTTAAATTCTTACTTTCTTACCACTTCTTCTGCTCGACTAGCCTCAACTTTCAACAGTCAGATCGGGCTCCCCCGTGCTCCTATATAGACCTTCTATATAGCACGCATCGAGGTGAGCCACTCTCGCGTCTCGCTGTACGGCATTAATCGTATGTTATTACGCTAACTACTTGGCACGCATCAGCTCCTATTCTACGGTCAGATAAACCACCGAGATACGAAGGCTAAATTGCAAGTTGCAAACTGCAGTCGCATTGGCGATTCGGTTCGAGGAAGTTGGAGAAGGTGGAGACGCCGAAGGTATAGTCTTAGGTTATTTAAGCAGCACCGGTGGTGGGAAAAAAAAATATTTTTTTTTAATCTACATAGACAAATTAGCATTGCTGATGTAAGAATCCGTGACCTAGATTAGAACGCGTTTATCGCATATATAAGAAACAGCTTGATAACGGGTGTAACGTGAGATTTGGAGACGCGGACGAATATCGGAAGCCGTTATAGGCGATTGTTATAAGGGACGAAAAAAAAGCTTCCGCTCGAACGGAAGTACAGAAAGAAATTTGATCCTTCGATCGGTCCAATCGGCAATCCTAGTGACCCGTTCCTGCCGTATGCTTTCTCAAGGCTCCCAGCAATTAATTTATCCTCTCGGACGGCTCGGATGAGCTCTAATTGTCTTATCCGTTTAATGATGTGTAATCCGATTTGTTTTCGAGCGATCCGATCCGAGGCCAGCCGATGATCCGATCTACGGGTTTCGGCGTGGAGTCGACGTTTATTTTTCACTGGCCGTTTTACTTGGTGAACCTGGTCCCCCGTGTACGATCCGGTTCCGTTTCTCATCACCCGAACGCACAATCCCGATTCGAATCTTTCGATTCATCTCGAAATGTTTAATTAATTATGTACGGACCGGGATTTCTGCTATTAATTAATTACGATCGGCTTCTCGATTCTGTCTTTCTCTCTCTCTCCCTCTCTCTTCCTCCTCGTACCTTATATACCCCTCTCGATCCTCTGACCCGGGAACACTTCTGCTCTCTGCTTTCAGATACCAGAGAAACGGGATTCGTGAATGCTATTACGGCAGCCGGCGTGACCTATGCCGTGACCAAAGCCTGCACTATGGGTGACCTCGTGGAATGCTCCTGCGAGAAGACGTCGAGTAAGGGTGAGTCAGGGATCGACAACTGGTCCATTGATCTTCGCACAGCCTTATCTCCAGCTACCGATCAGTTTGAGTAGCCCGATCTTTCTTAAATCCACTGTTTTATCTACATAGGAAATCGCTTGAGCAAAATCACGCGGAATGCCGAGCGAAATAAAAATGTCCCCACGGAGGGCGAGTGGGAGTGGGGCGGATGCGGGGATAACGTGAATTTTGGATTTAAAAAATCGCGGGACTTTATGGACGCGCCTTACAGAAAACGCAGCGACATTAAAACACTCGTCAAACTCCACAACAACGACGCCGGACGTCTGGTGAGTGTACATACATATACCCTCCACCTAGAATTTTCATAATTCTCGATCAAAATGAAATATCTCGGAATCTTTTAAAAAACGCGACCTTCCCTTCAGGCCGTCAAAAAATTCATGAGAACCGAATGCAAGTGTCACGGACTCTCCGGCTCCTGCACGGTCCGCACCTGCTGGAGAAAGATGCCCAACTTCCGGGAGGTTGGCAACAGGCTCAAGGAGTCTTTCGACGGTGCGGCTAAGGTCATACCCACGAACGACGGACACAGCTTCATCACGGAAGGACCCACGATCAAACCACCCAGCAAAGTCGATCTGGTCTACAGTGAGGATTCGCCTGATTTCTGCAAACCCAACAGAAAGACCGGATCCCTTGGTACCCAGGGTAGACAGTGCAACTCGACCAGTCCAGGGGTCGAAGGTTGTGAACTCCTCTGCTGTGGACGAGGTTACGACACCAAGGTGGTCAAGGAAAAGGTCAACTGTCAGTGCAGGTTCCAATGGTGCTGCGAGGTCACGTGCAACACATGCGTCGTTAAGAATTCTGTCAACACGTGTCGCTAGTTCATCCCACCCTCCACCTCTCGGCTCATCATCATCCCCCTTGGGCTAATCATAAGATACCCTGTCGCACCGTACTATAACCTAATAATTCATCGTCGATCCAACCCTATAACCCATTGTCATCGAAATGCTACTGATTGTGATTTATGTTGTACTTCTCTTGTGGTAATAATCATTATTATTGTCTCTAGGCTTAACCGACTCTGACGGAGACGCACGAAGACTCACGGAGAGTCGCGAGAATGTCGAGAGAAAGGGAATGTGTGAATGCGCGTATGAGTCCTTATATGAATCTCGAAAACACAAGTAGGCGTAGTAGGAAGTTTGCGTATTTCTCTCGTGTCGCATGGATGTTCACTCTCGTGGGCTTGGTCCGCCGGTGCCACAGCTCACAGCGGTGCCATATAACTCGAAGCTTTCCACGTATCTCGACGGAGCAGAGAACACGTGAATCTGCCCGTATGTATATCCTATGTATAACGTATGTGCATCGAGATTCGGCTTCTTTTTCAATTAGACAGCTGGAAGGGCGCGGCTGAAACGCGATACCCTGTGGGTACAATTAATGTCATTTTATTGAAATTAAATTTTGACAATATATATATATATATATATAGTCGCTTAGCACGTACCGCGATGACATTTTACTCTCCGTCTTCTGTACATAAGACTGATACTTTACTCTCTAGTGTATTATCGCGATTCTTTCTTTACCTACGTACTTACTATCGTTACTCGTGATCTTTTCTATTTTTATTCGGATCCTCGTTATTAACACAGCATCAGCCTTTATTGCAATAATGTATTCGTTATATATTACTACATTGATCGAATATCAGAATTTCACGTACATTCTTATGGTATATTGACTTAATTATAAATTATCAGCCTCAGCCTGCGATTGCCGTTGCCCACCCTATATTATAAATATATATATATTATATTATGTTATATTAAATATATTATATGATTTGCGTCAGTGGAGATTGCACTGCGATGAATATATATATACACATATATTTTCCAAGCATTAATGTTTTTTTTTTGAAAATACCTTTTTTTAAAAAATCCTTGATTTCAACTTTTTTTGGAATATCCATAAGTCAATTACGAGGTAGGGTGAGGTAAGGTTGAAAAATGATGAAAATCGAAAGGAAGTTTTCCGTGGACCGCGGAGAAGCGAATGCTGGGTAATAAAGGACACGTAGGTATAAAAATGGAAAATTGGGAAGGCTTTACGGCCCGTGTAGAACACAGCTTTTAGCTGTAATTTAACTTTATAAAAGAGTTGCCCCCGAGCGTTGGATCGGTGCTCGGACCGGCAATAAAAAACTCCTGTCTACATCTCCTATAAAATAGTTTTACAGCAACAAAAGAATTTCGCGTCCCCATAAAGTTGCGGCGGCGTACGATCACACTATCGCCATCATCACCAGCACCAAAGCCATATAGCTACCAAAAAGGTACGCAGGATGGTATCGTGGCTATATACACTGGTCTCCAGAATCCAGAAGATACTGGGATGCTGTAAAAGCCTCTTAACTGTACGAGTCCGACCAATGGCAACGCTGCGCATCGCGCCCGTTTATTGGACGTCAAAATTAATGTAATTACGAGATATTTCCTCTTACCTCCCAGCATCCGTCCCTGTACCACCATCTCTCAACCTATCGAATTTCACCGTCAGGACCATCGGAGATCCTCATCACGCAATCGTCAGCAGCAACGTCTTCATCCGACTCTCGGTATTAATAACTGGAGAAAAAAAAGATAGGACTTAATGGAAGAGTCCATCCATTGACATAAATTGAAATTAGTTGGAATTGGTCCAGATCTGTCCCGAGGACGAGAGATGGTACCGCGTTGACTCTGACGCAATTAACCCCACCCAGAGTGCATGCTGCGATTAGCCCATCGGCAAGAGATTGGTCTGCTCCAGGTTGACTGGGTGGTCCAACGGTTAATTTGGGGCTGTTGCAAGTTGGTGGGGCAAAAATGGCCCCTCAAATTGCCCGGTTACGATCGCAGCCATAAGCAACGCCATTTTTTTATTCTCTCCCAGGTCCAGCAAAATTCTCTCTCTCTCTCTCTCTCTCTCTCTCTCTCTCTCTCTCTTTCTCTCTCTCACTGTCAGTCGTTTTCGCGCGACCCTTCACCCGCGCTCCGTCTACCTCTTGCGAAAGGTCCAGATCCTCGATTCGTTCCCCGTTCTCCACCACCTCCTCCTGCACCACCTCCTCATCACTCCTATCTTCTCTCCTTACAGGCAACTCGCGATGGATCACGGCTGCGTTTACGGTTTTGTTGCGTAGCACGACTCCACGTCTACTCCTCGAGGACGAGCTCATTGTTCCGCTTTTAATCGTTCCCGGAATTACCGGATTGTTGCGCGTGGGAGAGTTCCGAGCCAAGACCTCAGCAGATCTTCATGGACCCCAAGAGTGGAGTCTAGCGGCACGATCTTCTTCCTATTCCTCCTTGATCACAGTGGGTCCTTGAGTCTGAGATCGGAAACATACAGGATGCTGGAGGTACAGACATTGGTTAAGACAACAGTAACGGGACCCTGGCCAGGCTGCAAGGATATTAAAAGATGCTGGTCCCAAGGTCCATCCGAATTCCTCTTGGGGATGAAAGTCGTTCAGTCTTGTAGTCCACCAGTCGTCTTCACCCTGACGAAGGTATTAACGCTCGAGGTGGTCGCGCGCTCCTCGACACCAATATTAATTAAACAATCTCATAAGCTTAACAAACTGGTCGTACGTTAAGGAGTTTATTGGTCTCGCGGGAACGTTAAAATGTTCCAATCTTAATTAGGTAGGTGTTTACAGGAAGATAATTCCCCGAGTTTAATGTCCGTTCCAGTCGGGCCACCGCGATGTGCGCTTCATACGAGGTCACTGAAATCTTTATGGACGGTCGTTTCTCCGTTCCTGGAAATATGCCTTTCCCAATGAGGCCCAACGGCTATGCCGACTCCACAGTCCTACCGGCGCATTGCGCAATCCGATTGGAGGCGTTCGTGCCAGCTCCTCTTCATCGACCGTCCCCACGTCCTCCTCTTGCCTATTAACCTTACGCGCGAACGGCCCCGCTGCGTTACACGCGAATCGTTCACCGATCAAAGGATCCCTTGTTTACCGACTGTGCAAACATTTGCCCACGATTATTCCCGTCCTAATTCTCCTCCGGGATCGATTACAAAATCTCAACAAACAGAAGGCCTCTGCGTGGCGGTTCTCGTTACCACCCGGCGAGCTCCGTAAACAGCAATCGGAACTCATTAGGAAGGTGTTAGGAACACTTAGCGGTTCCGCGCGATCTTCCTCGTCCTACGAGCAACCTCAAGACTTTCTAGCGACCTGTCTCAAACTCATTTCCGCCACTTCCGCCATCTTGCTCATCCACGTCGGTACCCTGCTCCATAGTACTACCTTGTAGCAACGTAACCCGTAGCAGGTCGATCGCTCGCGATGATCTTCAGGGATGCAAAGACCTGCTGACGGAGTGTGTGAAAGATGAAAAAAAGACGAAAAAGACGGAAAGATCGTAAGAAAGATGGAGATGCATGTCGAATCCCAAAGAGACGGCTCTCCGAGAAGAGAGCCTAATTGGCCAAAGGATTTTCTATTAGACTCAAGAGAAAGGGTAGAAGCTGCAGCCTTACCGCGAACCAAGAGACTTCATGCTCCATCGAGGAATCGTTAATTAGGGCTTCGAAGCCCAACGTACACTCAAGTGCAAGACAACAAAGTAGACCAGTGGAGATGGATTCGTTCCGCAGTACCATAAGCTGGAGTTTACGACGACGCCGGGCGTCGGGACGGGATACGGTATGAGGTGCTCGCGCCGTTCTAAACAGCACCCTCTGCATAGCGTGAGCGAACGAATGGTCCATGCCGGTACGGTCGTCGTCGTCTTCGTCCTCGTCGTCCTGGTCTCTGGGTTGGGTGGGGAAGCTGGGGGAGCTGGACCTAGGTGCAAGTCGATAAATCGAGTGCATGTTGCAAGTTGCAACGAGAAGGACGACATTGTGGTCCAGTCGTGAAGCCCCAGCATCTTCCACACTGTGTGGATATACATTGGCTATGGAGGTCCAAGATTGAAAGAGAGAGAGAGAAAGGGAGCCGAAGGGATAAGATACTCCTCGAGCCAACAACTTCATCCGCGGGGCGCCTCTGATTTATCCTTATTAATAAAACTTTTAAGTCCTGTTAACATGTGCTGTGGGATGCGCCGAGCTCTCTCGGCTCCGTGCAAAACTATTGGCAGCCTGCGCTCGCAATTTCGGCAGCGCTCGCAGCTCCGAGCCAAAGTTTTCCCGTCTGCCGGACAGCGGCACTGGCACTCGCGCTCGGCACCAGCACTCGCGCCAGCACCGACCACACTGGTGCCCAGCGGGGCATCCCGTGTGTTCACGGGATCGCTACGAGATATCAGGCATTATTAAAACTACATAAACACCGCGAGTAAAATGCGAGTTATGGCCCGAGAGGGTTGTGAATTAAGGAGGGGCTACGGAACGATCGAAGGATGGGATAAAGAGTGCCTATCTGAGCATCTTAACTATCTAGCTGTACGTTATCTATGTATCTGGATATCTACAGTGTAGATGTTACATCTAACCTACCTGACTGTTTCGTACCGTAGCCAAGTGCACTCTATACTTATAATAGATACGTAGCACGGGTAGACACGTATCCTTTACCTGGGGCAACTTCTTCAGATTCTATATGCGGACCCCGGTGGACGTCGCAGGAGTCAAGGATGATTCGAGATATTCCAGCGATTCGATCTCTAATGAATCTGTTGCCAGACTAAAATCACGAAGACACGTCAACATTATTACATTAGGCTGCTCGAGTTAGGCATCTTTTAATCGCAATCGAATCCGATCGAATCGGATCGAATCGGAGACAACGCGAGAGGAGATCGGTGAACGGACAATGACAAGCACCAGGTCCCCCATGGGGTATTCGAACGATGCGAGCCCTAATGAAGCCGTTTTCGACTTCAGGACCCACCATTGTCCCCTGGGTGGGAGGAACATTGTCCCTTCGTATCCTTATCGACCAATGTCGATCTAAGATCCAGCCTCTTATCGATACCAAGATCCTCAATGTAATTCATGATTCCGTGGGATCTTTTTTATATTCGATCAAATTCTTTTACTTTACTCGACGTCTGCGTCACTCTTGTGTATGACCACCCTAAGTCACCCTCCTCGTCCTTCCCTTTCCTGGCAATTATTAAAATACCCATTGCAATGGGTGGGACTCGTGCTCGGATGTTTTGCACTTGTCCCGTTGTCTCCGCTCATGTCGCGCGTCCACCCACGTTCACCAGGATATGGATGAGACCATTTAGTCACAGGACACGCGATTCTGAGTCACTCGGCTCAGAATTCACCAAGGAGCAGACCCAAGCGCCTTGGTGGGTCCCCCTTTTCCTGGGTTCGTACCCGTTCGCTCATTGTCTCTCCGGGATAAGATGGACTTGGGAGAATCGTCGGGCGACGCCGAGGACGACCTGGACCGCCAGGTAAGTTTAGCAAGCTCAGAGACGCTGAGAACGGAATCGCGTCTTGCTAAGTGACCCGTTGGTTAGCTGCAGCAATTAGCATCGGTCAATGAGCTCTGAGCTTGTAAAGTGATGGGGACTGTTGAATTTTTCATAAAGCGTCGAGTGGCTCGGGGGGTGGTGGGAAGG